TGTAAGTGAATAGTTATGGTAAAGCAGAATTATCCAAAATATTATCTTAAAGAGTATGATATTACAGTTTCAATATTTTTCAATATTTCAGAAAAATATTGATATATTGCTCCAAAAGAAGCAAAAATGATAAATATTAGTTTTCTTGAAAAATATTGATTATGTTTCTGAAGAAGCATAATTTATATATATTAATATTTTAAAAGAATACTATAATTATATCATAAGAATATTGTTTTGCTACTATAGAAGAGTCAATACTACGTTATGTGTAAGCATAGAATTTTGTTATTGATAGTGATTTATTCTCTATCAAATTAAAAAGAAATATACTGAGTTTTTAAAATGTAGCCCTTGTTTGAGTCACATTATTTTTTTCATTTTCATTCTCCTATTCATTTTCGACCATACATTCTTCAATAAAATAATATTTTCCATCACATCAATAATTTTCTTTTTTTTAACCGTATATTCACCATTAATCTACTATTCCAAAAAATATGGCTCAAACACACTTGTACAATATAAATGAAACAAACATTATATTGAATCAAAAGTTCAATAATTGAATGCATTATTGTTTGGCATGTCCAGTTAGATCACCACTGAATCAATAATGATGTGAAATGAGAACTAAAACGAACATACATAAAAAAATCAATAGATTCTTTCATCCAATAAATTTCTATATGTTATTTGTTCTCTTTATCGAAAGTATGTGATTAATTATCACTAATTAAAATAGGGACTGAATCATTTACATTTCTGAAAATTAATTAGGGTGATATATGGGACACGTCACCTTCAATGTTGACCACTAGATTTTATTTGTATTTAATAAATTTGATACATCTACTGAATGATTGCATGTTATTCGCAATTTGAAGTTTGCGAAGTTACGGTTCAAAATTTAAATTATGAGCATAATTTTCAGATTATGCAATTATAATGATATGTCTTGTTAATATTAGTGAGCTTAAATCTCAACATTTTAAGTATTAGTTAAGATGACAATAAATTGTTTAACATTATTATTTGTAAAGTGCCTCTAAATTAATTTATAAACTATTACAATGGAGAACAAAGTGCTTTCCACTTCTGTATAGGGAATGCTATTAATATCATGCCACCATAAAAAATTTCTCCTTATATTTGACTCATGATCAGAACCTAATTTTTCATCTAATTATTTTGACAGTGCTATATATATACAATTGATCCACCATAATTCATCGAGATGAAAAGTGAAAAATGCTGGTAAAATAAATCCTTATAAAATATCTAAAATCCTAACCAATTATATTTTATAGTGCAGTTTGCTGTCTATCAATTTTATTGAACTATTTTCTCAGTATTGGATGGAGAAATTAAGAAGTTGGAAATAATGCACAAAATAAATCATTATATTATCTAGATAATCGCAAAAGATAAGTCGAACCAAAGTTTGAAAGAAAATTCATTTATATGCATTTATTGATCAAAGAGTTCAATATTATCTCACACACCAACTTTAAATGCTCTAGTTTGAATTGACGTCCTAGAAAGATAATTTATTAACATTGTATTTGGTATATCGATGACACATGAATACAATTGATTCTAAAGAGGAAAACTCTCGAAAAAATGAGCAAAATGGTCCCAATTAAAAGGCGTATAATCTTAGAGAGTATATAGATTTAACTAATTATAAAATTCCAGATGATGTTCAAGTACTTGAAATATTGAAAGTATAGATATCTCAATAAGTTATGTAAGTATGAGAAAGAAATAATCAAAAAGAAAAAGGTTATCGACAACAAATTTGTACATGATGTTCTATGTCATAGTTTTAATAGCGAGGTATTGAAATAAATTTGTCAAAGCCTATCGATCAAATAAATGATTTGCCAAATAAAAAGATGCAATTCTAGCACAATTTGAACTTATTAGTGAAATTTGAAGTTTTGGACTTGTAGTCCGAAAATCTAAAGATATATACTTATACGAAAAGTAAATGAGAAAATAAAAAATGAATTCATAGCATGTAATACATGACTTTTAACATAATAAATTTTGTGAAGATAACGGTGGATGCAATCACAAGTCTATATTTTGTCATCATGACGATGCACGAAATTTGAAATACAATTATAGTCAATTTATCCAGTGTGACTATTAATATTATCTTTGAAATATTTAATATGCTTGAAGTAAATAATTCAAATGATATTATTATGAGATGAGTAATACTCGTTACACTCTTTTTCCTTGACCAAAGTTGTCCCATCGGGACTTTCTAACAAGGTTTTTAACAAGATAAGTTTTAATAGTGTATTCAAAGAAATAGTGTACTATTTTTCTTTTATTAGTATTTTTCCAACTTCACTTTCCCGAATAATGTTTTAACTAGTCATATTATTTGTGTAGTAATAAGTATCCAACCTGTCGAGAAACAAAAACCTAACAAGAAACATTCTCAACAAATCGAAAAGGGATAATTGCAGCAGCGGTACCAAGCATTTTATTTATCAGCAGGCTTTGCCCAAACCTTTCGTTTGTGCCACCCACAGTACCAAATCTTTCAAAATGTAGCAGTTGAAGTCCAAATGGATGTTTTTCGTTAGTTTGACCGTTAATTGACCAAATAATTAATTTTGACAATTATTTTTGACTAATTTTAAAAGTTTAAAATGGTCACTTTACATTTTTTAAAAATAAAATAACTAAAATAAAATAATTAAAATTAAAATTAAAAACCTAAAACCAATTTTATCTTCTCCATTCACCCCCACCTCAAATCTTGGGAGATCTTCAAACTCCAAATTTGTACTCAGCCTCAGTTTGAGCCCCATTAAATTAAATTTCATTACATTAATTTTTTCTCTTTCATTTCAATCATACATTCATCAAATAAAATAATATTACACACAAATCTAAAACTTTTCAACCATACATTCTTCCATCAATCACTATTCTAAAAATTTTCAACCCTAAAAAATGGGGGCCAAACAGGTGCTCAATATGAGGAACATGAAGAGTATTGTGGAGACCATGAGAATCAAAGAATTGTAGTAACAGAACATTTATGGTTTTCATCTTTCAACTAAAGATCTCCTAATTGATTTACAAGATCTTGCAAATCCTCACCTCAATCTGATGTTTATGTTACAAAATCTTCCACTTCTGCAACTAATGGTTCTTGATAGTCAAAAATGAGATCTTCCCCGAGCATTTCCTTCAACATACCCTCTGCAATAGAATTCAACTCGGTGCCAGGGCCAATCTCTGATGTAATGTCCTTTGGAGTGGATCTCTAATTGAATGTTCAGAAGCTCCTCTTCATCTTGACTTGTATAGTTCGAAGACTGATTAATGCCCATTGCAATGGATACAGCATCTCCTGCAAATTCTCGACACTTAAGACTCATAGTGAGTCTCCTCTTTTGCCCAATTTTTAAGCGCTCTTGCTTCTGCGCATATTTATCCATATAATACTGGACAAACATCGAATTTCCGAAAGCTTTAGCAATGAAACTCATCATTTGTTGTTGCTTCCTTTCAGTGCTTCCTCCACACCAAAATGCCCCAACTCAATACATGAACTTCCTCCTTGCGAAGTCAAGTTTTGCATGACGTTTTTGTTGGATTTAATTTCTTAAGTGGGCTACATGGTTAAATACAAGGGAAAAATTCATAAATAAGGTGATTAATTTACACCAATCCAAAAATCATGTTTATAGTTTGAAAATTCAAAAATCAATTTTTTTTTAATTCTAATATAATATAATATAATAAATCCAACCCACATGCACCACCCCTACCGCTCCGGGGACTATTCCGGCGATCAATCTTCTCCGGCGACTATTTCGACAACCATTCCGACGACTATTCCGACAATCATTCCGGTCACAGATTTATAATTTAATTAGTCACATATTATTTTTCAGTCACAAATAATGAATTTTTTACGTCATAGATTATTTAATGGTCATAGTTCAAAAAATTTATAGGTCACATTTAATTTGTTGGTCATAGATTTAAAAATTAGTTAGTTACAGATCAAAATTTATAGGTCACACGGTCACAGATTTCCAAATTAGTTGGTCACAATTTTTTACGTTCACAGATTATATAATTTTTAGGTCACAGATAAAAAAATAGTTAATTTTATTGGTCACATATTTTCAAATTTGTTGGTCACATATTATTTTTCAGTCACATATTGTCAAATTTTTAGGTCACAATTAAATACTTGATCACAGATAATCAAATATTTGGTCACATACCACTGTCACTACTTCAGCCACCATCACCACCCACAGTCACCAAACAAAAGCACGGCCACCACCCCCAACATAACCGTCTCCACCGTCGACACAAGCACTGGCAGAAACAATCACAACCACCAGGATCACGACCACCGCCAGATCCGCCATAGCTACCAACACAACTACCTGCACAACCAATAAAAATCACCTAAAAC